GAAATAAGCCAGGCAGAGAAAGACAAGTGCCAAATGATTTCCCTCATTTGTGGAGTATAACAATGAAGCAAAACTGAAGGAACAAAACAGCAGCAGACTCACAGACTCCAAGAAGGGACTAGTGGTTACCTAGTGTGGGAGGGCGGGTGGGGAGGGAGGGAGAAGGGGACTGAGGGTATTGTGTTTAGTACACATGGTGTGAGGGGTCACGGGGAAAACAGTGTAGCACAGAGAAGGCAAATAGTGAATCTGTGTCATCTTACTACACTGATGGACAGTGACTGCAATGGGGTGTGGGGGGGACCTGATAATACAGGTAAATGTAGTAACCACATTGTTTTTTCATGTGAAACGTTCACAAATAACACCTTAATAAATAATTTTAAAAAACAGTATCTTAATAAAAAATTAAAAATAAATAAATAAATACCAACTTGCTCAAATTATTTGTTTCTTTCGTTTCTATCAACCTAACAATAGATTAGTTTATCTACTATGATATTAAAACAAAATATACAATTCAGTTATACATTATCCCCCATGAGTAACTCTCATTAATCCAACCTAGATTAACATGCAAGAAGCATATTATCACATTATAAACCTTAAACATAGATGTACACAGTGTTCTCAGTGCGCACAAAGACATTCAGTCTGGAGGATCACTATGTCACTTCAAATCTGGGGTTTAGTTATGAATGAAAAAGGACTAAAAAGTTACAAGTGTAATAGGGACTCTCTATATTAACTGCCTATGTAAATTTTCTAAACACTATATAGAGTGTTTGTAATTAAAATTTTTCTCTATTAAGTTTCTTTTGATTATATTTATTGAAAGCTATATTAAGTTTGTCAGATTAAATAATAAATATTTGGGCTTGTATTATGTATGTTTTTGTTCCTGCTTTTCATTTTCCTAGTAATTTATGTAATGATCTAATTTAAGTAATTTAATACACATTTTACAAAAGCATCAATCTGCAAGGGGTTGGAAATGAAGAATACTGGGTCTTCAAAGAGAGTTTAAGAAGAAATGGTTTAGGTTTCACTCTGGCAGTGTGCTGCAGACAGAATCTAGCAGGGGTGGACAGCAGGGAAGCCCCAGGCTGGAAGCTGATGCACACCTCCTTGGCTATCTTTGGCCTCTCAGCTTTTGTTGTTTTGGCTTGTATTAAGAACCTCTAAGCCTCTCTATTATTTATAAGCTCTGTGATTCTAATTTTATTTTTAGTTAAGCAGAGTTAATTTCATGACATGCAACTAAGAACTCTTTTTGTTCTACCTCTTTCGCTTTACTGATCTTTCTTTCTCAGTCAACACTTGCCCACATTAAACAACCAACTGCAGCACATTCACCTCTCTTCCCTCCCACCCTAAGCTGCAGATTTTGTTTCTGCTGAAGTGTGCAGAAATGTTTCCTGCATCCTGTGTTTTACAACAAAAATGTTAAAAGGGCAAAACAGGCTTTTCTGGTATTAATCCAACTCTACTACAAGTTAAATAAATATTGAATACTTATGTGCCAAGCACTTTACTAGGTGCTATGCCAAATTTAAGCATCACAACACAGCTATATATACTGTGTCATTACCTACATATTATAGATGAGGAAACCAAGGTTCAGAGAAGTTAAATAACTTTATCAAAGTTTACCTTGTTAGTACAAAGCACAGACAAAACTCAAGTCTAAAAGTATACAGTTATATACAGTCATTGAGAAGCTAAATATGTTGGAATGTTTGGAAAATAACCCATGTGTAATCCAAGAGAAGCTTATACTTTATCTGAGATGTACTACCTATGCTTATGTTACCTTCTGGTTCTTACCTGTTAGCTTAGTGAAGGCTTCCATGTCATCAATTGCTGTAGAAATGTGATACTTTTTTCCTTCAGCACCTACAATCTCTATGTAGGGGTCTGCTTTGAGGAAAGCATCTGTAATCCTAAAGATCATTTTATAAAAATTTGTTTACAAGAACATTTGAATATTTGCTTTATGCCTGACTTAAAATTAAAGAAATCTTTCTACTTTAGGGAAGTAAACTTTTGAGATAAAATGTTCTAAAGTCAACTGCTTCTCGAACATAGTAATAAGCACATGATGATTCACGAGCTACCATGTTTGCTGTGTTCTAGGCATTATGGCAGAGCTTTAGATACATTACCTTATTTAACCTTGCCAATAAGATGGGTGTAATCAGCCTCAATTTAACTGATACAGAAATTAAGTAATTTTCATTTAACCAAGTTAGGAAGAAATAATGCCAGGCTCTGAATGTAGAGCTCTCCAACTCTCCAAATCAAAAACAAATTAACAAAAACAACAAAAACTTCTTACCAAAGTAACAATACAAATAGAACACATTATAAGTAGTCTGCTCATGACAAAAGATGGGGAAAAAATAGGAGGAATAAATTTTCTCACCACAAATGTAAACATGAGTATGAAAGGCATATAATAACTCAATTTAAAGCTATTTTAAAGACATGGAATTAACTCAACTCACACCTAACTTTTGATAATTCCTTGTGGATACTTTGGGTGACAGAGATGTATGGCTGCACTTAACATCTGTACTTGATTGTATTTTTCTATCATGGTTCTGACTGGATCATGGAGAAGAGGTGAAATTCCTGTTTTATTATTTGCTATAATTTTGATAAATAACTGATAGGGTAAGGACAGACATTAATCTTGACCCTTAAAATTATTTTTTGTCATTAATTTGGAATGTCAATTATCCACGTCCCATCTCACCTTGATGACTAATTTCTGGTACATAAGTGAATACCTGTGCAAACGTCTCAGCCATGCCAACATTGCCTCTTTTGTCTAGTTGAAGCCAGCTATTCTGCCCCTCATCTATCTGATTTATCCATGCTCCTCCTCTTTCTCCAACTAAGTTACGTTTACTTTATGCTAGTTTTCTTGCTTGTTTAAGGAAACCATTTTAGGTTTATTCACTTAGAATTCACATGAATTTATTGAGAGATCTCAACTTGACCCAAGAATGATACTCTAGCAAAGCATCATGGAAAATTTTATAGAGAGATAACAATAGGATTCCTTACATTGTGTCAATGATGTTGCCAACTTTGTGTTGATAAGCTCTACGGTGCAAACAGTTGCGTGTGTGGAACATGTCATACAGATTGCCAACCTCCTGCAAGAAAACATGAGATTAGTATTAATACAGGATCACATTATGTTACCCTTGTTAGTAGATAAGTATATAAGATAAGGAAAAGGGATGGTTGCAGACAAGAGGGCTATGTACAGGGGCTATTTCACTAAAACCCCTGAGTCCACTGAAAAAATGGCAAGGCAGATGAGTAAAACTATTGGTTTGCATCTTTTGTTCTTAGTAAACCCAAATCTATTGAGTGTTTTAACTTTGATAGTTTCTGTTTAAGGCACCATCAATATATTTTTAAATCTTCCTAATAACTCTAGAAATTAGATATTATTCTTCTTAGATTCCTTATTCTCAAAAGAAAGACTTTCTATAGAACAATACTGTACTACTCTTCAGCTACATGGGACCTAAGAATTTGAGTATTTTAACTATGATGAAACACTAATATAGTGATAAAGGGTGAAACCTGAGCCAAACTTTCTGGGTTGAAATTCCAGTTCTGCCATTTATAAATTGCATGTCCTCTTTGTAACTCAATTTGCTCCTCTCACATCTGTTAAGTGGGATAATAGTATTATCTATTTCATAGGGTTGTAAAAATTGGGTTAATCCATCTAAAACACTCAAAACAGTGCCTAATACAATACTCAGTGTCAAATGTAATTTGATTGTTACTAAACACACACAGTAGAAACTTACAAATGCTAAGCATAAGTAGGATTGACAATTTACCAGGTACTGGTTTTTACAAATTAGTGAATGGTTATTTCTAGATTTCAAACTGTGAACTACATCTTCTTTGTTGTTCTTCCAATACGGCTTACCTTCTCTCTAGTACAAATACGCTTCCTGTTATCAACTTCACAGACACGGGCAAATTTAATAAAACGCTTGTAATCAAAATTATTTTGGATTCCAAGATGATGGCAGTCCCTGGAAACATTCCAAAGCAGAGAGAAGAAATTTCATTTTTTTTAACAGTAAATTTTTTAACAAGGAAACTGTACCTTAAATATTAACTCTAAATTTACACAAGGATTTTTTTATTTTGCTTACTTAAATAGAAATTGTATATATTTGAAATATACAAGGACTTTAACCAACTTTTCTGCATACCTGGCAAAATAATCCCATTTGTCTACATCAATGCCATTTCTTTTATTGGCCACTATCTCATATAGGAAGCTTTTCTCTTTAGGACGCCCTTTGTATGGCCACTGAAAGACAAGAAAACTCACAGAAAATTTTAGGATAGGAACCAACTCTGTTTACAGGCAAAAGCAAAGCACTATACAAATCTGAAAAATTATAAACATACACCTAAATGGAAATGTGTAACTTAGAAGGTTTCTACTTTTTCCTTCTTCTACTTAATTCCTAAATTAGTAGAAAAAGGAAAAGAAATGCTAAGGTATGTGACATACTATTAATAATAAACTTTGTGCCACTGAAAGGATCCTAACTTCATTACAATTCCTATAACCAACAAGCTTTCTTATTTTCTTGCTTTACAAGTTTCTAAAAATATATAAAATATAATTATGAACTAGTAAGAATGTTCCTTATATACTAATGTTTGACTTCATGCACGAAAATAGTACTATCTTTCAAAGTAGCTATACATCTAGTCTAAATGATTTGTACTGTCCAAAGAATTTTTAGAGCTCAATTTTTTAGAAATAGGATATTTGCTATAAAATCCACCTCTTTATCTTACATCTTATAAGTAGATTTGCATTATATTTAAGGAAAAAACCTTAAAAACTTCAGAAGGAAATTATTTTTCAACTTCTTTTTAAATTAAAAAAATAATCATAAAGGAAACAAAACAGATTTTCCTCTGAACTAATTCAACATTTTTCTAGCTCTTCATATAGCTAAATATTTCAAATATGTTAATTTTAAGGAATAAATAAGAAACATACTTTCATTTAAAAAAAAAGTAACTTTAGGCTTCTACGTAAAATACTGAATACAAATTCATTAAAAATATTTACATGTGTATTTTAATTTGGGAGGATAACCTCTAAAGAACTCAGTTAAGAGATAGAAAAAATATATAAGCCTTTCATTTTTTTTGCATTAAGTAGTAGAAATATATAACATAGTCTATCATTTAGTCCCTCTAAGTAGCCAAATACCCCTCCTTAAAAAGCTCTGAAGGAACTGAGAAAAGACTAGATGGAAAGTACCAGTCAGTTCAAATTAAGTTGTACACAAACTTACCGAAAAATCTTTAATTGGAGATTCAAGTGGTCCTGTAATTTGTTCCTTGATAAAGCAAATATCTTCTTCAGGGATGAGACCATAGTATTGCATGACATCTCTGAGTCCATTCGTATTAACTAGGTGTTCAAACATCATAACTGAGCCCTGTTCATGCTAGGAAAAGTCAGCATAATATGGTTTGTTAGAGACTCTAGTCCATTAGGACCCAGATTATCCAAATTAACTCTTGATTCCAGGTAATTCAGAGGTGAATTTCTACTGCATGTTAAAGATCTAGTTTCCAGCTACAGTCCCACAGATATTTTTAAAAACCTATCAAATTTGTGTCTACACGCATACTTCAGAAAGATTACAGGTTTGGTTCAAGACCACTGCACTAAAGCAAATATTGCAATAAAGCAAGTCAAATGAGTGTTTTGCTTTCCCAATGCTTACAAAAATCATGTTTACACTGAACTTTAGTCTATTCAGTGTGCAATACCAAATGTGCAACAGCATTATGTCTAAGAAAAAAATATACATACCTTAATTAAAAATACTTTACTGCTAAACAGTGCTACCATCTGACCTATCAGCAACTCATAACACTGATCACAGATCACCACAACAAATACAATAATGGGAACACTGAAAGTATTACAAGAATCACCAAAATATGACAGAGCCACAAAGTGAGCAAATACTGTTGGAAATATGGCACCAATAGGTTTGCTCAATGCACAGTTGCCAAACCTCCAATGTGTTAAAAACATAGTATCTTCAAAGTACAATAAAGCGGAGCACAGTAAAACGAGGTATGTCTGTATTTAACTAGCCTAAAACCTTTTCAAACTATGTTCATCATTATTTCATAAACACACTAAAGGGATATACCACTTGAGGTACAGAGGTGCTGTATAGTAAGTACAGAAGAATATTACTAAATCATACATGTAGAATCCCATTTTTAATAAATATCACTGTAAGTTCTACTGTTTCATCATCCTTCAAATGTAGTTCCAAGTTCTATAACATTTCCATCTAGTGGTGAAAAGGGGTAACTGCAAACTTGCCAGTAAAAAATGTTTTTAAGCTCTGAAGTCAAGACCTGGGTGGGAATCAAAATTGGCCTCATTTTATTCAACTATCTCTATTCACTCATTCATAATTGCTGTAAAGATCAAACGACCACCTTGAGACATCTGTCCTATCACAGGTCTTACCAAAAACTGACTCAAGATAAAAACAAAAACCTGAAAGGTCCTATAACTCTTTCCTTACTTGAATAAAGATACATATTAACTACAGAGGAAAAAAAGAGTATAGTGGAGAGATTTGACTGAGTTTGCCTTTAACAAATGATCAAAGTTAATATCACCAGTAATGACTTAAATATACTTTATGTGTCTCTGATGTGACACACTAAGGACAAACAGCATTCTGCCAAAAATGCATTCTCACCTGGAAAGAAAACATCAGAAAAACTGAAACTCAAAATCAATTCCACAAAAAAACTCAACTGTACTCCAAAAAATGACAAGGTCATGAAAGACAAAGTTTGAAGAATCATTCCAGATCAAGAGACTGAAGAGAAATGGCAACTAAATGCAATGCATGTACAGATCAGGAAAAAAATGTTTTCTTCCCTCTTTGTCATATGGGCAATTGGTGAAATTTGAAGAAAGTCTGTAAAGTAGATAATACTGCACCAATATTAACTTTCTGATTTTGATATGTACTGAGGTTATATAAGAGGAGGTTCTTGCTTTCAGGAAATACCCACTGAAGTATTAAGGAATAAATGAGTATATCTACAAATTATTTTCAAATGGTTCAGAAAAGATTTTACAGATACAGAAAAATTTAAGTTTCACAAAGATAGCACAGCCCATATCAATTACAACTTATAAGCAACTTAGGAGTTCATATAACAAAAGATGTTATCAGACCTTCATGGAGAAATTATAAAATTTATAATAGAAGAGAAAAGGGGCAAAGATATCCAAAAAAAGAACAAGGTGTGAACAGTTGTCTTTCTAACTACCAAGACTTATTATAAAGTAATAATAACTAAGAAAGTGTGGAACAGAACAGAATCTAGAAAGATTCATTATATATGGGAAGTTAATCAATGTTGGGGTTGGTATTACAGATCAGTGATCAATAAAGAATTATCCATATTTAAAAACAAGAAATTAATGCTCCACATCACTAATTATCAGAGAAATACAAATAAAAACCACAATGAAATATCACCTCACACCAGTTGGGATGGCCAGTATCAAAAAGTCTAAGAACAACAAATGCTGGTGAGGATGTGGAGAAAGGGGAACCGTCCTACATTGCTGATGGGAATATAAGCTAGTTCAACCATTGTGGAAAGCAACATGGAGGTTCCTCAAAAAACTAAAAATAGAAATACCACTTGACCCAGGAATATCACTCCTAGGAATTTACTCAAAAAATATAATTTCTCAGATTCAAAAAGACATATGCACCCCTATGTTTATTGCAGCACTATTTACAATAGCCAAGCTATGGAAGCAACCTAAGTGTCCATCAGTAGATGAATGGATAAAGAAGATATGGTACATATACACAATGGAATACTATTCAGCCATAAGAAAGAAACAAATCCTACCATCTGCAACAACATGGATGGAGCTGGAGGATATTATGCTCAGGGAAATAAGCCAGGCAGAGAAAGACAAGTACCAAATGATTTCCCTCATTTGTGGAGTATAACAACGAAGCAAAACTGAAGGAACAAAACAGCAACAGACTCAGAGACTCCAAGAAGTGACTAGGGGTTACCAAAGGGGAGAGATGGGAGAGGGTGGGTGGGGAGGGAGGGATAAGGGGACTGAGGGGTATTATGATTGGTACACATGGTGTGAGGGGGATCATGGGGAAGACAGTGTAGCTCAGAGAAGGCAAATGGTGACGCTGTGGCATCTTACTATACTGTTGGGCAGTGATTGCAATGGGGTATGTGGTAGTAACCACATTGTTTTTCATGTGAAACATTCATAAGAGTGCATATCAACAATACCTTAAGATAAATAAATAAATAAATAAAAACAAGAAATTAGATTGCCACTATACACATGCACAAAAAAAATTCCACATGAGTTAAGGACTTAAATGTAAAGGCAAAATATTTAAAGAAAAAGACTTGGATAAAGAACTCACACACCTCAACAATCAAAAAGCAAATAACCTGATTTAAAAATGGGCAGAGGATCTGAACAGACACTTTCCCAAAGAAGAAATTCACGTGGCCAACAGGCACATGAAAAGATGCTCCACATCACTAATCATCAGGGAAATGTAAATTAAAACCACAATGAGATATCACCTCACACCAGTTAGGATGGCCACCATCCAAAAGACAAACAACAACAAATGCTGGCAAGGATGCAGAGAAAGGAGAACCCTTCTACATTGTTGGTGGGAATGTAAATTAGTTCAACCATTGTGGAAAGCAATATGGAGGTCCCTCAGACTAAAAATACAAATACCATTTGACCCAGAATTCCATTCCTAGGAATTTACCCAAAGAAAACAAGATCCCAGATTCAAAAAGACAGATGCACCCCTATGTCTATTGCAGCACTATTTACAATAGCCAAGACATGGAAGCAACCTAAGTGTCCATCAATAGATGAATGGATAAAGAAGATGTGGTACACATACACAATGGAATATTCATCCATAAGAAAAAAAGAAATCCTACCATTTGCAACAACATGGATGAAACTAGAGGGTATTATGATCAGTGAAAAAAGCCAGGCAGAGAAAGACAAATACCAAATGATTTCACTCATCTGTGGAGTACAGCAGCAAAGCAAAACTGAAGGAACAAAACAGCAGCAGACTCAGAGTCCAAGAAGTGACTAGTGGTTACCAAAGGGAAAGGGGGTGGAAAGGAAGGGAGAAGAGGATTAAGGGGTATTATGATCAGCACACATAATGTAGGGGGGGTCATGGGGAAGGCAGTATAGCACAGAGAAGACACGTAGGGACTCTATAGCATCTTACTACGCTGATGGACAGTGATTGCAATGGGGTGTGTGGGGGGTACTTGATAATGTGGGTAAATGTAGTAACCACAATGTTGCTCATGTGAAACCTTCATAAGACTGTATATCAATGATACCTTAATAAATAAATAAATAAATCAGAAGAATTCTAGGATACTACTCTCTGAATAATAAAAACCATCTTTCAAGGTGAAAAAAATAAAAAAACTTGGGGGTGGTTGAGTAAATCTCATTTAGATCAACCCTGCTGAAAAAAACCACGAACTCTGGACAACTTTCTGAAGGTACCTGACAGCAAACAAAAGTAGGCAGATGTCACCAGGAAGGCAACACTCGGAAGAGAAAGGCACTGGGCAATATTCCAATTATTCTATGTCTTATAGCCTGAGGGCAGGTCCCAGAGCAGGAAAACTGGAGAGAAACTATCCATCTTAGTCAGTTAAAGAACCAGAGTACCTCACAAGCACTTAAGATTTCTGGGCACAAAGGATGATGTCTGACAACCCCCCACCCCCCCAGAGAGTTTTCCCTCATATCCCTACTACTCAAGCAAACATTCCAAAGTTCTTCAATAAATCTCCTTTTAAACTGCTAAAAAATAAATACATAAAATAAAATTCTGTTTCTCAAAGGGCACCATTAAAAAAAATGAATTGGCCAGTCAGACACTGGAGAAAATATATTCACAATACATGTATCTGACTATATACATTCTTGATTATAAATAGATAATATAATTAATATAGTTATATGTTAACTATTATATAATTCTATTATAATTAGATTTTCTAATCACATATATAATATGATTAATATATTACTCAAATCAGTAATTAAAAGACAAACATCAAATTTTTTAAATGGGTAAAGCATTGAAAAAACTTCACAAAAGATTTATCTATAACAAAGTACAGGAAACTGTATTCAACATACATCATAGAATTAAAAAAAAAAACCACAAAATGCCATTTCATACTCTGAAAGGACTAATCTAAAAAACCACAGGTTGGTGAGGCTGTGGAAAACAGGAAATCTCTACTACCCTGAGAAATGTCTTAGGTTAAAATATGTGTCTACTTTATGACCCAGCAATTCTACTCCTAAGAGAAATGGGAAAATTTTCCACAAAAATCCTGTACAGAAATGTACAAAGCAACTTTATTCAAAACAACCCAAATTCCATCAAAAGGAGAAAGGATAGCAACCCAAGTGTCCATCAATAGGTGAATGGATAAAGATGTGGTACGTACACACTATGGAGTATTATTCAGCCATAAAAAAAGAAATCCTGCCATTTGCAACAACATGGATGGATGGCCCTAGAGGGTATTACGCTAAGTGAAATAAGCTAGGTGGAGAAAGACAAGTACCATATGATTTTACTTATTTGTGGAATATAAAAATAAGACAAAACAAAATGAACAAAATAGCAACAGATGCATAGACACAGAGAAGTGACTGGAGGTTGCCAGGGGCAAGGAATGGGGTGGGTGGGTGGGGAAGGTGAGGGGGAAAAGGGGCACAACAATTCTCAGTCATAAAAGAAGTTGGTCTTGCGGACGGTAGTACAGCATGGAAGATACAGCCCATGATTCTGTAACATCTCCCTATGTTGACAGATAACTGCACTAGTGAGGGTGATGATTTAATATGTGTAACTGCTGAACCACTGTGTTGTATGTATAAAACCAGTATAAGATTGTATATCAATATCTCAATTTAAAAAAAAGGAGAAAGGATAAACAAATCATGACTTACTTTTTGCTACCTCGACAATAAGAAGGGATCAACAACAGATGTGTGCAACATGAATTAATGGATCTCACACTCATTAAGTTGAGTGAATAAAAGACACAAAAGAGTACCTATTACATGATTCTAGTTATTTCAAGTCTACGAATAGGCAAAACTAATCTGGTTTATAAAAATCAGAAGGTGATGGTGGAGTGAAGAGTAGGAATGGGCTGAAAGGAGCACAGAGGAATTTCTAGGAAGATGAAAACATTCTCTGTCCTAACTTGTAGTGGTTATGTGGATGTATACCCTTGTCAAAACTCACTGACCTGTATGTACACTTATAATATGTACAGTTATTGTATGTGAACTAAGAAAGAGAAAGGACATAGTGGTTGACAACTAGGAAGCATACCCTTTTCTATTCTAGTTCCAGAAATAATGGTGTGATAAAAAAAAATGGGAGCCAATCTAACTTTACTTCTCAAAAATTCATTCCAAAAATAGAGGCTAGCCACCTGCAAACCCATAATTAGAAAATGGCTCATTTCATAAAAAGGATGAAACTTTGCTGGTATCAGTTACTTTGTGGTCAGACAAAATGAGTCAAGAGTGGAACTTTTTTTTTTCACATTAATGTGATAGAGTAAAAAGAGCATTAAATTAGGAAAGCTAGTTTTCTAGTGCTGGCTATACCATTTAACAGCTTTGTGATTTTTCTGGTGCATCAATACACCTCTGTGAGCTTCAAGTTCCTTCACACTTGTAAAAATGGAGATGATTCCTTCCTTACAGACAACTGTGAGGATCAAATGAAAACACATAGTTATATATGAAAGCACCCTATATGAAACATATTTATATATACAGCATGTCATATAGTTATTTATGAAAACTGTAATGGGTAAATATACTTAACACTGCAATGGCTACTTAAATATTTCTGTTTTATTGACTATTACATATATGAATACATACCGTCCATTTCATATCTGGACGAGCAAGTGGAATAAACCTTCCATCAAACATATGAGAAAATGGCCCATGACCTTAAAAACAAAAGCAGCCTTAGAACAAGAAAAATGTTTGATAGTTGACAAAAAGCTAATCTCTTGTTTTATCTTTTTAGTTTAATTATCAACAGAAATTAATCATCTATAAATACATCACAAAAAGGGACAAATCCTCCTTTCCTACTTTCTAAAATAAAAGAATAGAAAAGTAAGCTATCCACTGAGGCATCTCTGAGTCACTGGAGTTTAAATAAATCTGACGAAAGGACGGTTTTGTGTAACTGAAAGGAATGTTAATGACAAAAACTTCTGGCATCTTCAGATTGAATTATGTATATCAGAACAGTGATTCTAATGCTGGGGTGCAGGAAGAAAATATTAAACTTTATGTTACTACTCTCATCCTTTAAAAACATCTAGTGTAATGTGAATCTCATAATGTATATTAATATATTTTATAATAAATATACATGTGTGGGGGCTGTTTTCTGAGTGTTTACTGATGATGTGGGCATCAAAAATAGAGGTCACTAGTTTATCTTATTTGTAAGTGATTTTTAATGTTCCACAACATTTGGTGATATGGAACTTTGTTGAGAAGTGAGTTACTTGGCTGGAGAGGCAGCCCACCTGGAGTAGCCCTGGGCCTTTTTGCATGTCAGTCTGTCCACAAGGGCTCACGACTGCAGTGCTCAGACTCCTGGGGACTGGCAAAGGTTTCCCTTGATTACCTCTCAAAAATCCCAAGAATCTTTATCATCTGAGGGTGCTACTGGTCCTACTGAAATCTCCAAGGGGACGCACTAAAGAGAGTGCCCTTTAAGTATCTGGCTACTGAAACAGATACCTCTCTTTCTCTGACCTAAGGGCACACACAAACTCTCAGCATCATCTAAGAGGTAGGAATAAACTACAATGATAGCAGTAAAAATTCATGCAACAGAAGAAGACAGTCTCTTTTCTCTTTCTTTGTCAAAGAAAAAGGATATTCTTCTACTTAGTTTAAGTGGCCTAAGACCTCAGACGGGTCAGGGAAGAAAAGGAGTTCTCTAAATCTGCTGTTAATCTGCTAGAGCAGATTATGTATTTTAAGCATGAGAATAATGTATTTGATGAAGTAACTGAAAGAAAAATGGCAATTTTATTCAACAAGAAGGATAAAAATAAAATAAAATTCACATCCTTATAAACACAGTAGTCAGAAAACCTCACTATCAGAAAGTCAAGTCCTTTCATGTAACTTGCAGCAAAGATGTTTAACATGGGAAATTCGCTGAAAGACTATAAAAAATAAAGTAGCAAAGCTCTGGGTTTATGAATCATTCTAGGATGAAGCAATGGCACATTTATTAATGTTAACTGGAACGTCAAAATACAACTTCTGTATTTCTTTTGGTTAGTCAGATTTCTAAATTTCAAAGAGGTAGCATGTTATGGTTTTATGTAACAACTTTGGCTTTTTGTATGGCTTACCGAGATCATGACATAGCCCAGCAATCTGAACACAGAGCATATCTCGTTCACTGATCTGCAGCTCTGGTTGTTTTTCATGCAGTGCACGAACTAAACATCCTGCCAGATACCCTACACTGCGGAGCAAAAAACAAAACAAAAATAAAGTTACTCTTCTGTTCAAAAGATGAGTGATATGTGTGGTACTCAAGTATGGTTTCTCAGATGTTCTAAAATATCTCTAGGACAACTTAACAGAACAGTCTACTTCAGAATAAGGTAGAAAGACACGAACAATCTCATAAGTAGGACCTCTTGGCTCAGCATCACTAATCATGAGGGAAATGCAAAATCTAAAACACAATGAAATACCATCTCACACCCATTAGGATGGCTATTATCTGGAAAAAAATGTTGGCCAGTATGAGGAGAAATTGGAACCCTTGTACACTGTTAGTCTGAATGTAGAATGGTGCAGCCATATGGAAAACAGTATGGCAGTTCCTCAATAAATTAAAAATAAAATTACCAAATGACCCAGCAGTTCCATTTCTGGGTATATACCCACAATAATAGAAAGCAGAGCCTCAAAGAGAGATTTGCACACCCACGTTCATAGCACTATTCACAAAAGCCAAAGAGATGGAAGCAACTCAAGTGTCCACCCATGAATGAATGGATAAACAAAACATGGTCTATCCATACAATGGAATTTTATTCAGCCTTAAAAAGGAAGATTCTGACACATGCACCAACATGGATGAAACTCAAGGAAATTATGTTAAGTGAAATAAGCCAGAAACAAACTCACTTATATGACATACCTAGAGCAGTCAAATTCATAGGAACAGAAACTAGAATGGTGATTACCAGGGAATGGAGGGAGAGGGGTATGGGGAATTGTTGTTTAATGGGTATGAAGTTTCAGTTCTGCAAGATGAAAAAGTTCTGGAGCTTGGTTGCACAATAATGTGGATATATTTAATACTACTGAGCTGTACACTTAAAAATGATTAAGATAGTAGATTTTATGTTCTGTGTATTTTACTACAATTTCTTTTTAAAAAAGCAGGACTTCTGGCTTGTAATATTTACAACATAGACTGAAGATAAAATGCCTAACAAATGTTAAATGCACTTTCAGCACTTCTCCCTGAAAGTAATTCCAGAATAAATACAATTATCTTACCTCTCCCCTAAACCCTGAGCTTCATGAAGATAGAAACCATTGTTATCTTTTTGGTTTGGCAGAGCTAGTAAGTTTTCAATAAATATTTGCTGATCAATGAAGATTTGAGTAGATACCTATAGTCTGGCTAAAAATAAATGGTTCAAAACAAACAAACCCAAAGAGTAATACACTGGGAGTACTTCATGAAAATCTAAAAATCTGTCCAGTTCTTCCCAGCCCATTATTTGTATAATGGGAAAGCAGACCAAAGTCTCAACTCAGTGACACATAACTAAGGTGCCACCTTCTCTAAGCTCATGAATGCTTTTCTGATTTACATTATTTCCTGTCAGGTAAGAACATGATTTGGTTTCAAAGGGCAATTCTATACAAGAGAAAATAGGGGGTACAGGAAAATTAAATAATCAAACTCAAAAAGTTAGTTATATCAGTAACCAACACTATTGGTTTTTAAATAATAAACACAAATTTTTGCATCCAAATGACCTGTCAATAGATATTTTCATTATCTTTCCAGGAAAGATGTGAGATAGTTTATAAGGATACAAAAGATAAGATAAGATAAGAATCATTTCATGAGACAGAAGGCACTTAACTGTAAATTCCCCATCAGTTCCCTTCTTACCCTAGACTATGTTCAAATCGGTTGTGCGAAGCTCCTGGAAAAACATAGTAACCACTTCCCAACTGTTTAATATATCGAAGCCGCTGAAATTGAGGAGTGTCAATGATTCGGATGAGAAGAGGGTGGAGTTCAATGTGGCCATGGATAGGATCATTAATTACCTAGAAAATTAAGTTTAATTAATGAGTAATAACATTAAACTCCATCTAAAAATTTTGTGCACCATTCCTAGCTACAGTGCAAAGTCAAAGCTATTTGATGTCCTCAAGAGTACTACTTAGGGAAATGATAAGATGTTGATATCCCCTTATTTAACTTTTCACTATCAGACAGATCAAGTGTATTAGAATCTGGTTATATTTTACTTCTTCCTAGTGGATTCTCATAACACAGAGATAAGGATTTCAATCTTTTTATTATGCATATTATTTAATTAGCCTTTAATAAGCTAGTCTTGTATTCAACTTAAACATAATCACTTAACATACTCATTCAGATCATATAAGCCATATTAGTACCCATACTGGGCCTATTTTTTCCCTAAATGTGTCTATAATTTCACAATTATTCATTACTCTAAGATTAAACAGGGGCTTTACATATGGGTCATAAATTAGTGCCACTCTATACTTCTTTAAATAAAGATACATCTTTCTTAACCGTCCATAACTGCCTTTTAAAGAGAAAGCTACAGAATAAAAAAGGAACCTGATAAATGATCTAATCCATGATTTTCAAACTGCTTCAAATTGTTCCATGAAGTTCTTTAAAAATACATGGAATTCTGGGCAATGAAGGACCTTATTAATCTTGTTTACTGCCATTTTCTCAGAACCTACCAGAGAGTGCCTGGTATACTGTAGGAACTGAAATATGTTTTAAATGACTATAGTTGAACCACTACTGCAAAGATATCTATGTTAACATGCTGTTATAGTTAAAGTGTACCATGTCTGTACACAGAAATTTATAAAGTATGAATTACAGAAGCTCAATGCTGTAAAGTAACTTAAAGGGGTCACCTGATCTAACATTTATTTGAACATACTGTTAATACGGAAGTTATTTCCTTTAAAAAGAGCTCAATTCAAGTTGGGTAACAACAGCCTGAGTCAAATAATGACTAGAATTTATAACTTGTTTAACAATACATGTACATTAATAAAGATTAGACTTATGGTTGATGTTTAGTATTATATTAGTTTTTTCCATCCTGCTCTATAAAACCACTTTATCAAGTCAGTCATCTCTAATAATACACCAAGAATGATGTCAAAGTATTTCAGGAATAGAAGGAACAAGAGATGTCTTAATTCAACCCTGTGAATGTCCTTATCAGTCAGAAAAAGTTTCATAATCTTTAAATATATGAAAATCATACACTCGTCTATTCCTTCTCTTTTATATAAGATTAGGGTAACCAAAACAAATGAGAATCTATTTTACTAAAAATTATCAAGGAAAAATTTTACATCTATTTTATTAAAAATTATCAAAGACAAATTCTACAATCAATTTTAATTCATTTAAAGGACTAGAAGTCTTCAGTCTATTTTTCAGGTATATTAACTTTGTGTATGTGTATAACTTTTTTTAAGACATTTATTTCACCCTAAATATACTAAAACAAAATAAATTTAAACAACTTTACAAAAAAGTAACTCAATGAAAATTATTTTTAACTTAATATATATACACATTCTTCATGTCAAAATGCACCACGAGCGCTTTCTCATTTTACTAATCCTAATAATTGCCATTTTAATGGTTCCTTTTCATTAATGAACCAACATTTCTAAACCATTCCCTTAATACTGGGCAATGAGTTGTTGAAAATTCTAATTACATTATTTCATATTCCCTTCCAAACTCTTTGTATGTATGTGCTACTGACATGTTTTGTTCATTGTTTGCAATCTTTTATTTTTGTTCTTCCAGTATTATTTAATTAAACTACTCTTTATACAGTCACATGGCTCATTTACTTGTCACTTTTAAAGGCTATATGATATTCTATTGTGTTACTAGCCATGAAGGATCAAACAATTTTATTGTCTATTAGGTGTCTTTTGTATATACCAAGCACTGGATATAAAATGAGTAAGGCACCGTTACAGCTCTCTGAGAAAGACAACAGAATCTATGTCAAGAGTACTAGGAAAATAGAATGGAGAAAAAAAAAAAAAAAAAGGAGGGTCAGTTCTACTTAGAAGAAAAGAGAGAAAAAACGCCAGAAAAAGATTCAGAGCTAGTGATTCTAAGATTTAAAACCTACTAGCAAGAGAAGGTACAGAAAGTGGATATTTCACTCTCTTAAAATTCATTAACCCATAGGACAAATCAATGTCAATTATGTCAAACACTGCAATTCCTCCTCACGGTTATACAATTCTGGCTTCAGAGGCCAAGTGAACTAATTTTAGCATGAAGAAACCAGAGCCAAGAATAAAAGGTTGTCACTCTGGGTTAGGCAATGGTTTCTTAGATATGATACCAGCACAACAAGCAAAAGAAAAGATAGATTAAACTGGACAACATTAAAATTAAAAACTTTTGTACTCCAAAGAATAGCACCAAGAAAGACAATCCAGAGAATGGGGGAAAATATTTGCATATCATACATCTGATAGGAGACTTGCATCTAGAATAAATACTCTTACAATTTAAATCAGCTGTGGTGATGACCTGAACAACCCTGTGAACTTTCTAACAAACAAGGACTTACATACTTTGCCTGAGTTGAAAGGTATATGAATGATATTTCACAATAGCTGTTTAAAAAAAAAAAAAAGAGTAAAAGGTAGATACCAAATTAGGGTAGGAGTCAATTCTTTTTCAACTGTACTGCTAATGAAGCTAACTAGATCTTATAAGGTATCAATTTTATCACTATATGGTGACTCAAGTACTTAGTACCTTTAAAAGTTATTTTCTACAACTGTAATTTATACTTTACAAATGAGATTAAACAATTTCCTGTTTCTGAAGAAAAACAGAAAAGAAAAAAAGTACCAAATGAAACCACTGGCTGCCTTAACTATTATTTCAAAAATATTTTTGTTGTGAATTATAACTGTGAAAATGTGATCTCAGAGATCATTTGAAATGATTCCACCTAATAAAGAAAACTCACCTTCTGAACTATGCCCTACCTGCTTCTACATCCTATGCTGCTGGTACTGAGGAAGGAGAAAATAAAATACAGGACAGCAACTTTCTTCCAATTGCAGGACCAAATAGTTAGATATCGTCTTTGGTAAGTGATCATTCTATTTATTTCTTCATAAAAAGAATGAACTATTTTAATATTAGGTAATTTTTTCAGAAAGGGCTGGGATTTGATTATTCTTCAAATAAAATATCTATTGGAAGAGCAGCTACTTTGTCTATAAAAGAACATTCTTATAGGAGTGAACCAAATGAATTCATTAAATATTTTCAAACATGGCTTTCAAGGGAAGATAAGCAGGCTAACTTGCAAAAGTAAAACTGAAACGTGTTCGCATAAGGATCTGAGAGAACTCAAACACTACATTAAATACATAAAATACCTGATGAAAAATGCAAATGATGATCACCCAAAAGGGTGCAAAAGGGGAATGAGTAGGGCTACATTCTTCTAGATCTGAAACTATTATTTAACCTATAGATGCCAAAAGGGTGAACAGTAAGGTACACTTAATGTCACAAACCAATTGAGAAACATTTTTGAAATTATGTTATTAGAATTATCCTGAAGAGTCTGTGAAAAAATGCAAATTTTGTGGTCTCGACTCTATATTCCCAAAATCAGAATTTCTGGGATTGGGGCCAGTTGATAGCTTGCTAAAATGATTCTTGGGACAATCAAGAGTACTACTTAGGGAAATGATAAGATGTTGATATCCCCTTATTTAACTTTTCACTATCAGACAGATCAAGTGTATTAGAATCTGGTTATATTTTACTTCTTCCTAGTGGATTCTCATAACACAGAGATAAGGATTTCAATCTTTTTATTATGCATATTATTTAATTAGCCTTTAATAAGCTAGTCTTGTATTCAACTTAAACATAATCACTTAACATACTCATTCAGATCATATAAGCCATATTAGTACCCATACTGGGCCTATTTTTTCCCTAAATGTGTCTATAATTTCACAATTATTCATTACTCTAAGATTAAACAGGGGCTTTACATATGGGTCATAAATTAGTGCCACTCTATACTTCTTTAAATAAAGATACATCTTTCTTAACCGTCCATAACTGCCTTTTAAAGAGAAAGCTACAGAATAAAAAAGGAACCTGATAAATGATCTAATCCATGATTTTCAAACTGCTTCAAATTGTTCCATGAAGTTCTTTAAAAATACATGGAATTCTGGGCAATGAAGGACCTTATTAATCTTGTTTACTGCCATTTTCTCAGAACCTACCAGAGAGTGCCTGGTATACTGTAGGAACTGAAATATGTTTTAAATGACTATAGTTGAACCACTACTGCAAAGATATCTATGTTAACATGCTGTTATAGTTAAAGTGTACCATGTCTGTACACAGAAATTTATAAAGTATGAATTACAGAAGCTCAATGCTGTAAAGTAACTTAAAGGGGTCACCTGATCTAACATTTATTTGAACATACTGTTAATACGGAAGTTATTTCCTTTAAAAAGAGCTCAATTCAAGTTGGGTAACAACAGCCTGAGTCAAATAATGACTAGAATTTATAACTTGTTTAACAATACATGTACATTAATAAAGATTAGACTTATGGTTGATGTTTAGTATTATATTAGTTTTTTCCATCCTGCTCTATAAAACCACTTTATCAAGTCAGTCATCTCTAATAATACACCAAGAATGATGTCAAAGTATTTCAGGAATAGAAGGAACAAGAGATGTCTTAATTCAACCCTGTGAATGTCCTTATCAGTCAGAAAAAGTTTCATAATCTTTAAATATATGAAAATCATACACTCGTCTATTCCTTCTCTTTTATATAAGATTAGGGTAACCAAAACAAATGAGAATCTATTTTACTAAAAATTATCAAGGAAAAATTTTACATCTATTTTATTAAAAATTATCAAAGACAAATTCTACAATCAATTTTAATTCATTTAAAGGACTAGAAGTCTTCAGTCTATTTTTCAGGTATATTAACTTTGTGTATGTGTATAACTTTTTTTAAGACATTTATTTCACCCTAAATATACTAAAACAAAATAAATTTAAACAACTTTACAAAAAAGTAACTCAATGAAAATTATTTTTAACTTAATATATATACACATTCTTCATGTCAAAATGCACCACGAGCGCTTTCTCATTTTACTAATCCTAATAATTGCCATTTTAATGGTTCCTTTTCATTAATGAACCAACATTTCTAAACCATTCCCTTAATACTGGGCAATGAGTTGTTGAAAATTCTAATTACATTATTTCATATTCCCTTCCAAACTCTTTGTATGTATGTGCTACTGACATGTTTTGTTCATTGTTTGCAATCTTTTATTTTTGTTCTTCCAGTATTATTTAATTAAACTACTCTTTATACAGTCACATGGCTCATTTACTTGTCACTTTTAAAGGCTATATGATATTCTATTGTGTTACTAGCCACGAAGGATCAAACAATTTTATTGTCTATTAGGTGTCTTTTGTATATACCAAGCACTGGATATAAAATGAGTAAGGCACCGTTACAGCTCTCTGAGAAAGACAACAGAATCTATGTCAAGAGTACTAGGAAAATAGAATGGAGAAAAAAAAAAAAAAAAAGGAGGGTCAGTTCTACTTAGAAGAAAAGAGAGAAAAAACGCCAGAAAAAGATTCAGAGCTAGTGATTCTAAGATTTAAAACCTACTAGCAAGAGAAGGTACAGAAAGTGGATATTTCACTCTCTTAAAATTCATTAACCCATAGGACAAATCAATGTCAATTATGTCAAACACTGCAATTCCTCCTCACGGTTATACAATTCTGGCTTCAGAGGCCAAGTGAACTAATTTTAGCATGAAGAAACCAGAGCCAAGAATAAAAGGTTGTCACTCTGGGTTAGGCAATGGTTTCTTAGATATGATACCAGCACAACAAGCAAAAGAAAAGATAGATTAAACTGGACAACATTAAAATTAAAAACTTTTGTACTCCAAAGAATAGCACCAAGAAAGACAATCCAGAGAATGGGGGAAAATATTTGCATATCATACATCTGATAGGAGACTTGCATCTAGAATAAATACTCTTACAATTTAAATCAGCTGTGGTGATGACCTGAACAACCCTGTGAACTTTCTAACAAACAAGGACTTACATACTTTGCCTGAGTTGAAAGGTATATGAATGATATTTCACAATAGCTGTTTAAAAAAAAAAAAAAGAGTAAAAGGTAGATACCAAATTAGGGTAGGAGTCAATTCTTTTTCAACTGTACTGCTAATGAAGCTAACTAGATCTTATAAGGTATCAATTTTATCACTATATGGTGACTCAAGTACTTAGTACCTTTAAAAGTTATTTTCTACAACTGTAATTTATACTTTACAAATGAGATTAAACAATTTCCTGTTTCTGAAGAAAAACAGAAAAGAAAAAAAGTACCAAATGAAACCACTGGCTGCCTTAACTATTATTTCAAAAATATTTTTGTTGTGAATTATAACTGTGAAAATGTGATCTCAGAGATCATTTGAAATGATTCCACCTAATAAAGAAAACTCACCTTCTGAACTATGCCCTACCTGCTTCTACATCCTATGCTGCTGGTACTGAGGAAGGAGAAAATAAAATACAGGACAGCAACTTTCTTCCAATTGCAGGACCAAATAGTTAGATATCGTCTTTGGTAAGTGATCATTCTATTTATTTCTTCATAAAAAGAATGAACTATTTTAATATTAGGTAATTTTTTCAGAAAGGGCTGGGATTTGATTATTCTTCAAATAAAATATCTATTGGAAGAGCAGCTACTTTGTCTATAAAAGAACATTCTTATAGGAGTGAACCAAATGAATTCATTAAATATTTTCAAACATGGCTTTCAAGGGAAGATAAGCAGGCTAACTTGCAAAAGTAAAACTGAAACGTGTTCGCATAAGGATCTGAGAGAACTCAAACACTACATTAAATACATAAAATACCTGATGAAAAATGCAAATGATGATCACCCAAAAGGGTGCAAAAGGGGAATGAGTAGGGCTACATTCTTCTAGATCTGAAACTATTATTTAACCTATAGATGCCAAAAGGGTGAACAGTAAGGTACACTTAATGTCACAAACCAATCGAGAAACATTTTTGAAATTATGTTATTAGAATTATCCTGAAGAGTCTGTGAAAAAATGCAAATTTTGTGGTCTCGACTCTATATTCCCAAAATCAGAATTTCTGGGATTGGGGCCAGTTGATAGCTTGCTAAAATGATTCTTGGGACACTGGGTTTGAAAAACAGGGTTTCTGACATCTAGAAGGGCCTCGAAGAGGAGAATATCAACAATTATTGATAGATTAAACTTTAGGAATATATCCACGCTTTGGACTAGTATTTGACAAAAAAGTCTACCAAATTTAAGAAAATTTAGTACAACTTTAAAAGTTATTCTATGACTGAGGGGTATTTAGGGCTATGTGTGCTGATGTGAATGATTCTCAAAAATACAATGTTAAATGAGTTTAGAAGGTTACTTTCTGTGAAATAGTTTATATAAAAATTTTAAAATGTGAAATAATACTATACATTGTTTATAGCTACATACACATGTAGTAAAAATAAAAAAGTATTTATGAAAATGAGTAAACCAAATTCTGAACAGGGATTACTTTTCGGGGAGAAAGGACAAAAACAGAATTGAGAAGGGGTACATAGGGGGCCTACTGTTTCTAATATTTTGTTGTAAAAACAACAGATCTGAAGTAAATTAGGCAAAATGTTAAGCTCTGACAAACTGGGTAGTGGTCTACTTATGCTTTTCCGTATACTTAAAATACTTTAGTTTTTTTTCTGATTTAAATATTCTGTTCTTATTTTAGAACATGCAGCAAGTTTAGAAAAGTAAAAATCCATTATGCACAATTCTATTACTGAGATTCCTTCCGTTATTTTTTAAACGAATTCTACATAATTGAGTTATATCATTTTATATTAAAAAATATGATCATAAACTCATATTCCTCTTACCTTCATTGTATCAATGGACATCTCACCCAGTCGTTGGATATAATTAAGCAGCTTCTTTCTCTCCCCCAAGGTTCTACAATTATAACAGGATAAGCAAACATCATTATTTGCTTAATAATAATACCTAGAGTATATAATAAACTCTAGGTCATCTATACTAATAAAAATATGTCATATTAGAATTCATAATTCAAACATGCTCCTCCTAGAAACTCTCTCTTTCCTCTGCTTCTAAGACATGAAACCCTCCAGGAAGAGTTTCTGCTCTTGGGATTTCAACATCTCCTACATCTCTACTGAATGCTCAATTTATACTTGAAACTTATTTTAACCTAACTGAAGTCAACACCTATCCTCATGATCCTGAATTTGCATGGCTCACGTAAGTGAAAACTCAACATAGCACTCTTCAAAGTAGAGCATAATATCAAAATAGAAATACCATTTGACCCAGGAATTCCACTTCTAGGAATTTACCCCAAGAATGCAGCACTCCAGTTTGAAAAAGACAGATGCACCCCTATGTTTATCACTGCACTATTTACAATAGCCAAGATATGGAAGCAATCTAAATGTCCACCAGTAGATGAATGGATAAAGAAGATGTGGTACATATACACAATGGAATATTACTCAGCCATAAGAAAAAAACAAATCCTACCATTTGCAACAACATGGATGGAGCTAGATGGTATTATGTTCAGTGAAATAAGCCACGCGGAGAAAGACAAGTACCAAATGATTTCACTCATATGTGAAGTATAAGAACAAAAGAAAACTGAAGGAACAAAACAGCAGCAGAAGCACAGAACCCAAGAATGGACTAATAGTTACCAAAGGGAAAGGGACTGGGGAGGACAGGTGGGAAGGGAGGGATAAGGGCGGGAAAAAAAGAAAGGGGGCATTACAATTAGCATGTATAGTGGGGGGGGTATGGGGAGGGCTGTGCAACACAGAGAAGACAAATAGTGATTTTACACCATCTTACTATGTTGATGGACAGTGACTGTGAACAAGGATGTGGGGGGGACTTGGTGAAGGGGGAGCCTAGTAAACAGAATTAATGTCCTTCATGTAATTGTAGATTAATGATACCAAAATAAAATTAAAAAATAAAAATAAAAAAATAAAGTAGAGCATAATAATGAAAAAAGGACTTTGGAATCAGAATTGGCTCTCATCTGCACATGTTATCTGTGTGACCTAGGGCAAATCACTTAAATTTTCAGGACATTTATTTCTCATCTATAGCACAGGGATAATACCTCACAGGGATTTACCCCACAGGGCGAGGGAGGGATTAAACAGTGTGTTTCTGCAGTGGGTTACAATAAAAACTCAGTTCCTGCCCTTGAGAACTACAGGAGAACTTCAACTATGATCACAGGTGTTACAGAAATTATAACTGATTATAAATTCAATATTTATCCCATCAGTTGTTTTAACTACAAGAACCCAGGAGCTTATGTAACCAAAGGGTGAATATGTATACAAGGTTATCTAAATTGGCCAAAGATGTTATATATGGGAAGGCTACATTTGTTTAAAAAACTGAGCCTCTGTCATATCAAAGAGAAGTAATTGTTGGTTACTGCAGTTAAGATACAATCAAATCAAATGCAAATGTCTAGGATACAAAGCAAGCCTTGGAAATGTAGAAGATTCCTTGGCAGGGGTGGCTGTTGGTTGCATGATCAGTCCATGGATGGATTATTTTATTGATTATAGTGGTCAATTACAAAGGTTCGAGTTTGACTTAAAAGAACCAGGTATGACTCATGCACAAATTAAACACATATGAAGGTTTTAGCTTTATTTATATCCATTTTCCTTTGTCAGTAATCCCTCTTAATACTCCCTCCCATTTTGAGAAAGAACTTCATAGGAATCAAACAGCTTGAAATCCTGTAATTCACTATTCTGCTTCATTTACACCTATAATAGGTTCAGGCATATCAGCCTGACATCCAGATAAATGTCAAAAGAAGCATCAGACAAGGAGTTAGTCTTTATTGATCTACTAGCTAATTAGATTGAAAAATAAATCCTTTGCTAAAAGCCCTAGACAGACTTGAATTCAGGAGCACTACAACTGGCCTCTATGCTGTACCCTGACATCTACTATAACTACTAAAACTAAGAATGACTTTCTTGAGATGTATGGAAACATTATTACAACTGATTAATCATTAAAGCAACATATCTCATGTTTTATTATTCCCCTAGCCTCCTCATCAGTTTGACATAACAAGCGCAGGAAAAAGACCAAGCTTTGTGAAGTACCTATAGGTGAGCGATAACTAACCAGGTTAAGTAGAGTTACACAGTTGAGCATAATAGGAATCATAGCATCAAGTGTCAAATCTAAACCAACCTCACTGCCCAGTGTTTTCCTTAACCAATACTACAGTAAATCTCTTTTACAAGTATTTATTTTGCCATAGCCATTGCCAAAACAAAACAAAAAACCCTCCAGTGGCTCTTGTCACATATTTTAATCAGTGATATCTTCATGAATAGTCTCTTTTTGGGTTTTAATTAAGTGATGACTACTGGGTCATGGACTATAGTTAAATTATAGTAAGATTTTATTGCTGTATTTCATTTTTTCTAAAATCTAATGTTTCTTAGAACTGATGTGTACAGTTAATGTGACAATGTTTCTTATTTCCTAGAAAAACCTCAAATATCAACAGTTCATCATAAAACTGAGGAATTATAAGAAGTACTTGTTTAAACTGGATTCCCCCTAGAAAGCAGAGTCTAGGACAAGAGTTTGCATACAGGTCATTTATTTTGGGACATGAATCCTATGAATATAAGTGGGGGACTAGGAAAGGTGAAAGAGGAAATGGCGGGAGACAGTGTCAGGGTACAGTAATGTTGGTTGCACTTATGGTACTATATGAACATCCTCAGCTTATCCTACTGGAATCTTCAAAGGCAGCTCTGTCCAGCAGAACTTTCTCATGATGGAAATGTTCTGTATCTGCCCTGTCCACCATGGTAGCCACCAGCCGTAAGTGGTTATTGAGCACTTGTAACATGGCTAGCATAACTGGGGAATTGAAATTTAATTTTAATAAATTTAAACATATATCTAGTGGCTGCTGTATAGAAAAAACATAGTTCTGAAGAGTCCTGCAGAAGCCACCTAGAGTAATGAGATGCACACAAAAGCTGTGCCTGTAGTGGTTCTTTTGGAAGTTTGTTTATTCTTTTCACTCATGTGTCCCAAGTTCCTGGAATAATACCTAATACATAGTGAGCCCTCTATAAATATCTGTTGCATATATCAATAGTATTTGGGTCCACAAAGTATACAGTTTCCTTTCAAAGGAAGACGCTATCAGAATGAATTCCATTCAATTAAAATAGTAAGAATGATTATACATAAGAAACAGGGAGTAAGGAGGAGTTTGAGGGGATTGAAAGGGCTGAAATTTGATTATGAAAGAGGCAAGAGGGCCCTGAAGATTAGTACATCCAAAGGACACTTATTAAAGGTCAGTTAGTTAAATGTGCTAAGGTGATCTTTTTTCACAATCTAATTCCATTATCAATCACTAAGCAGTGGTGCATGAAGTTATTCAGTACACTCCTTTGTTTTCATTCTTTAGTTACTGTTACCACAAACAACATTCAGCTAAGTGGAATTTCGGAACAAGAGTCTTTCACCACGTTGCCAATTCTCTAATAAAAACAAAGTCTCCATTTTAAGGAATATTTAATTATTTGGCTCCTCAACTGAGATCTTTAAAGTGGACCTACACAAACCTAGACCCTAGAACCTTCAGCCACACACAGGGATCTCTACCGATATACATAGTTTATTAAGGGCTTATCATATGATCATCAGTTTACATACATTACATTGTCTCATTATTATTATCCATTTCATAGGTGCAGAAGATGAAGAGTTAAATAACTTGTCCCAAATCATACAACTAAAAAATGCCAAATTACCTTGGATAATGTCTTTAAATCTAATACCAGAGATACATTCCAGTCTTAAGACAGCTTCAAAAAGTCCTAGAAATAGACTTCAAGATAGAGTTGTAGCCTTAATTTTTCTTGCCAACATTTTTTTTTCTGTTGGTTCTATTTTCTAGTTATATTGGGTATATTTTCTACTCTGTATAATTCAATTATTCTTAACTTGAGAGTAAAAAATTTTCTAGGTTTATCATTAAATTATTCTGACCTTAAGAGAAAATGGTTGGTCACTATAAATTTCATCGAAGGCTTGTCAGCAAAATTTTTTAAATAGGAGCCATTAGTAACATTAAACATAAGACACACACAGCAAAAACCAACAAAAACAATTGTGTTAACAGGTGGGGGATTCTGTTTTAAAACTTTGTAGATTTAAAAGGAGGACAGTTAATAACAGAGATTGTGGGCTTTTTCCCTCAAAGGCAAATAAAAAGGTCAAAGTGTGCTTGGCTATAACTTGAATTTTATCATTCTTACCTTATTCCAAGATTTTCAAGATGAGACTCATCAAGATAGGGCAGTAATGAGCCTGTGACTTTATTTTCTATGGAATAAAAGAGAGAAAAAAGACGAATGATTTCAGTATTTACAGCATATGCTTCTCGATTTCTTCAATTTGGATCTCCTAAAATTGACTCAGATCAACATTTACTGAGCACCCACTACAGGTGGACTGTGCCGAGTACTACTTTTTTGATTTGCCACTTGGAAAGCCTTAATTTTAACTAGATAACTATCCCGGGAGGCTTTTTTTGATAAATCAGGTGAAAAATGTAAAGTTAGTGGAGAAAATTATTTGCAAGGAAGTTCAGCTGCAAAACCACCACTTCCTTCTAGAACAGGTAAGGCTGGGGTGGGGGTAGGTAAAGAAAGGTAGTCTATTGTTATTCAAAGAGTCAGGTCAAAGCCGTAGCCTGTGGGTGCCCAACTTAGTGATTTAGTTTCAAAACCTCCAGAGAAAGGATATAACACTTGATTTTAAAAGACATATATGTGGTTTATTTCTTCTATATAATTAATTCTAGTCCTTTCTGACTTCAGATACCAGAACTGGAGTATTTTCAAACAATCTTCTTTCTAAAGGTAACAGAAAATGAGGAAGTAATTTTTCAAGAAGAAAAAATGTTTCAATGAAAATTGCATTTTTTGTATTTTTCTATCATAAAAAACTATCCAATGTAAAAAATCCAAACAATATAAAAATATAAAATATCAACTTATTTAAATTCTCCCATTAACCAATATTAACATTTGGGTAGTATCATTTGAGATATTTATGTCAAGTACATAATTTTACACAAATGAAATTATGTTGTTTATGTATTTTTTCATACCCAATATACCATAAGGATCTTTCTTGTCAATTATTAAACATCACCTTCAACTGCTGTCTTGTACCATAATACATTTAACCTACTGTTTCTGAGCCTTATGCTCCTTACCTCTAAAATGAGTATACTATAGAGATTTGTGCATTTTATGTACCTCAATAAAAAACTTTAAAAATAAAAAAATGAATATAACTGAACCTATGTCAAAGAGGTGTAAAGATTTTATAAGATAAAACATGTACAGAGCATAGAATAGTACTTCACACTAAATGCTCAATAAATAGCTATCACTATTACTTACTACTATTATTGATGGGTATTTTGATCATTTTTACTTTTTTTGCTATTTACAACCAATGGTTAAAAGAATGATCTTGAACATATTTCTCTGGGCACTGTACAATGGCATCTGTAAATTCCTGTAAATAAAATTTCCTCTAAGTAAAAAGGTATTGCCAAACTGTCCACAGTCAAGCTGATGGACACTTCCACCAACTTTACTGGTTTACCCATTTCTATTATCCATCTTTAAAATTTTCCAATCTAAATATAAAATTACAACTGAGACTGAATGTCTTTTTCTGTGTTTGCTGGCTGGTTGTCAATTGTCTGTTCTTGTGTTTTGCTCATTTTTCAATTTTTTTTTTCCCCTTGCTTTTAGATGATTTTAAAACTGGTTATGTTCTCCAATGTTTTTTTTTTTAATTGGCTTGTTTGTTCTATTATTGTTGAGAGGAATCCAGTGTTTTTCTGTTTGTTTTGTTTTGTTTATGAGAACACTTGTTAAGGTATAGCAGATACAAATTCTGGAGTCTAAAGTAAGTTTGGACTTACTTTGTAAGCAGACTTTAAGTGGACTTTATAAGCGGACCCTAAGTAAGTGGCTTAAAACGCACAACTCTACAAGTACAGCCAACAAATATACGTTAAGCCCTACCTACTGGCATGGTATGCATCCTAACCTTAAAATCCAGCTGTGCTTTTTTCTAGCTGAATGCTCTTTGGAAAGTTACTTAACATCTTTGGACTTCAAATACATCCTCTGAAAAAAATTTTGATTACAGTCTCTAAATTTCAGGGGAATTGTGAGACTGTATTCCAAAATGAGGAAAGGGACCTGCACCTTGTGCTTAGTTTTATCAAATAAAACCAAACCTGGACTTAGATAGGTACCATAGAAATAAAGACTTTAATTGGAAAGAAAGTACTGCAATAATAGTACACTCTGATCTCAGAAGCAAGCAACTCAAAAATCAAAAGGGAAAAAAAAGTGTTTCTTTTACAGGATAAAGGAGAGGCAAACAGAAAAAAGCAGAAATATTTGGAGAGGAAGTGACCCTCGTGGGGTCTGACAGGACAGTCTCCCACTGTAGTCAGCTAGTTCCCAGAAGCTGGTGAGGGGGCATATTCCACTTTTTTAGTGCCTGCTCAGGTGTGGGGGCAAGCAAAAGTTCAGGGAGAGAGAGAGAAGCCTGACTAAAGTTTGATCAAGACAAAGCACATAAGAAATGAGCGACTATAAACACTTGGTCAGTTTTTACCAATTAAAAGCATGTAGTGTCTTCTGCTAGCATTAGACAATGGGTTCAAGAGAACAGGTAATTCTGAAGGTTGATAAATTAATCTACAGAACACCACTGAAACAGAGAGCCAACAACAGTCACGTTTTGGAGACAGAAAATGTAAAATTACTTCATCCCCACCTGTTGCTACTCAAAGAAAATTCCATCCCAGCATTGAAGGAAAACAAAAGGGGGAAAGGCAAAGAGAGAAGCACAATTTCCTACACCCACCAAACTATTTTTAAGTCTTGAACCACTTAATTTCCTCTCACCCTAGTCCCCCAGCCTAGGCGAACGGGGCTCCACCCCACAAGTGCACAAGTTTACTGAATTTGCAAATGACACCACCTTCAATGACACCACCTTCCTATTGAACATCTCAAAGAATAAGGCAGGGGTTAAGCTTCACACCCATTAGGGGAAGTTGAGTAGATGTCAAGTGGGCGGATGCTTGAACTTGAGCCAGTAAGTCGCTTAAAACACAGAACCTGTACAATTTCTCATGTGACATGGTCAAGTTGTAGGCTGCTGGGACTTCCGTGGTCAACAACTGCATAAGGACAGCAAAACATGATCATTACCAAGCTCTACAAGTCCAGCCAACAAACATACACAAGCCCTACTTACAGGCATGCTATGGTAGGAGATGGGGATTCAGAGATTTACAAAACATGCCCCTTCCCCTTTAGGAAAACCCCCAGTTGGGGCAAGGGGACTTAGCCCCAAAGCATATTCTAAGGCGGCAATTGTTCAAGGAGCTGCAGTAGCACAGAGGGGTGAAGCATGACTCTGAATGACAGCAACCCTCGGAGCACGGTCTGGGGGAAAACGTTCTTCGAACTTAAAAAAGGGACTTGAGTCTCGCCTATCTGGCAATGGGGTGGCACGTTCCTGAAGACCCACCAGCGTTAGACCAACCGTCCCAGCCAGGTTCCCAATCCCCAGAGTCTGCTTCCTTCGTACGGGTCCCCAACCCGGGAAGCCCCACTTCTCCTTCCTCTATCTCAGGTCCATCCCTTCGGGTGCCTCAGGCCTTCGCTCTCTGCGTCCTTCTCAGGAGGCCCCTCCGCCTCGGGTCATCCTCGCCTCGGCTCCCGCCTCAAGTCCAGCCCTTCGGGTGCCTCCAGCGCCAGGTCTCCCTTCTCCGCTTTGGGTCCCCTTTGAGGCCCCTGCTCACTGCCTCAGGACACCCCCTCCTCAGGCCCGCAGTTCCCGCCTCGGGTGGCCGAGCCCGACCCTCCGCCCTCCAGCCCGGCTACCTCGGAAGCGTTCCAGCAGTCCGGGATCGCTGAAGCCACTGCGACTTAGGAAGCAGCACACCTGCTCCGGGCCCCAGGTATGGTGGTTGGGGTGGAGTTCGGGGCCCGGAGATCTCCCTGCCACTGCGGTAGCCGTGTTTGGCGGGGTTCTTGGGCTGCCACCACATCGGGGTCGCTTGGAGGGCTGCTCGCAGTCAGCTCGCTGCATGGCTACAACCAGCGCCGGGCGCACACGGTCAAGAACCGCGGCGCCGGGTCCGCGCGCAGGCGCACTGACAGCTCAGCGCTGGCAATGAGTCTGCTTAACCTTCCCTGCCTACTGGCCTCCTGCGCAGGCGCCCTGACACGCAGACCCTGGGGCCTGGCTGCCCAGTCACTTCAGCCACCCGACCCCCTGCGCAGGCGCAAATCCAATGGTCTTCAATCCCGCGCTGGCTTCGGGAGCCACTAAAAGCAGAACCAAGGGTGGTGATAAGGCGGAAAGCGGAGAAAGAATGTACCCAAGACCCGTGGAAGTCTAACCACTGTCGGGAGTAAGGGTTCTTCTGGTGAACTGAGTGTACCTTTCTCCAAATGAGTACTCCAGGCTTACCCTTGGCTGTGTATCAAATGCCCCAAATTTAGACAAGAAACCGTAAGGCCATCAGGCTGCCAGCATCTTCCCCGTTAAAAGTGGGCAAGAAGCTAAACTGGAAGACCCGGGAATGATTTCAAATCTGATGTGGAGGTCTCTTCTTCCATTTTTTACAAGTCCTACAGTATTGCTGGGCAGTTAAAGGGCCCTGGGAATGCCTATCCATGAACTCAGCCTGTCTTTGGGTTGTCAGACAGGAGCGGACTTCAAACTTCTCTGCAAAAGAATCAGCCCCTCTCTCCACTCCAGCTCCTTGCCCAGAGGAAAAGTGGCTGATCCGGTTACCGTTAAAAAGCAAAATTCAACTAAGTAAACAAATAGAACCTCTAATTGGTTTTATTCACTGATTCATGAATTTTGGGCAGCCTTCTATCTAGCAAGTAGAAAAGAACTCTGGGGAGCTGCCCCAAACGGAAGGTTTTTACTGGCAGAAAGGGGGTGGGACATGGAAGTTATAACAAAAGAAAGGATTATTTCAGGCAAGGCCAGCTCCTTTCCAGGGAAGGCAGGGGTCTCTCAAGCTGAATACCTCACTAGTGCTGGCCAGGAAGTTCCAGACTGACTGGTTAGTCACATTCCTGGGTAAGGCTGAAGCTGCCATTAGGTTAGGTATTAAGTCTTGGTTTGCTGATGTGGGGTTTAGCACAAATGATTCCATTTGGGGCCTATTGTTTCTTTTTAAACATTTCTTAAAATGTATCTTCAAAGATTTTTACTACCTAGTCCTAACAGCCTGTGAAAATGGCAGGCAACTCCACCTCACTTAGCCACTCTGGAGCAGGACCCAAACTTCCCTATAAATCATAATCCATTTAATTAACTGGTAAAAGTGGTGTTACTACCACTAGTAACAGCCATACAGCCATCAAACCAGCCATAGACCCATGTAGGGATACAGGATGAAGCCGATTATCAAGTTGTATGAATTTGTGGTCTACTGGACAGCAAAATATTTTTAGCAAACACTTAGAGCTTTACTGTACTACACACTGTTACACAGGTTTTACAAATATTAATTCATTTAAGTATCACAATAATCTTGGAATGTAAGTGTGAGAAACACACTCACTGGTCCAAATTCTAGAAGTGGACACGGAGACAAAGAGAATAGCAGAGCGAGGCTTTAATGACGGTCTTGCAGGATCAGGTGTCTGGTGGGCAGGCACACCTGAGGAGTTTGGCGCTAGCAATTTATTTCCTAGTGCGCGAATCCCTCCCCTGGTTCCTCATTGGCTGAGTACTACAGGGTTCACATTCTTCCCTGGACGTCGCCTAAGCCCGTTATATCGTTCCTTTCCATTTGTCTTAACCTTATTGGCAGGTTTGAAAAAACTAAAACAGGTATTGTCAGACCCACATCAATTCCCCCACCCCCACTCAGCCCGAGCAGCTTCTACCACGTGGCTCTTTCATCCTAGTGGGAATAAATCACATTTAGGTTTTATACTCTTTCCTAACAGTAAGGAACTGAGGTACAGAGAAATAAGTAATTTGCCCAAGGTCACACAAGTAGGAAGTGAAAAAGTCTAGATTCAAACCCCGGGCAATCAAGCTTGGCTCCAAAATCCATGCTCTTAATCACTTTCCGACAATTGCTTGTTAATTGGAGTTTTGATATAAAATTATCTTATACTAGTTTACGCCAAATTTTCAATTGCTCCCTTGTCCCACAGACCCACGAAAAAAGTATAGCAATCCCTCAGCACAGAAGGGTCAGGCCCAGAAAAACATGCCCTTAAAGCCCATTATAATTTGAGAAAAGCCCAAACAGTTGCCAGGACTTGTGAAGCAAGGGGGTGAAAGAGGCAACAAATAGCATGTGAGTGAAAAACTCATATTTCAGCTTGGAAATGGTTGGTTGGAAAACCTGTATTTATAAAACTCATGGGAAAACCTGCCCTGACGACAAGGTTTCCTCCTCAGTAGGAGGGATATAAGCAGGGTTTTAAGTTTAATCGATGGGTTTGTTCAAAGCAGACGCTTTTGAGAACTTTGATTTTGTTTGTTAAAGAGTAATTTAATGCCATAATTATTGTTTTCACCCTAATTCCCCACTTTCTAAGGGCCCTAGATCTTCTGCAGGGTGGTTGGTTACTTGCTCAAGATCACATGACTGGTAAGTAACAGAACAGAGATTCAAAGCTGACTCCAAAACTTGAGTACATCCAATTTTCCACTTCATTTAACTCCGCTTAGGGTCCTGGTGATCTTATTCCATCCAGTTATTCCACAGCTTGGGAACAAATACCTGTTAGACACAGGCCCTGTGTTCTGGTCATACTGAGAGAAATGACTGCTCAAGTTGTTCTCTGATGTTAATCTTGCCTTAGTTAGAATTAGAAAAGACTGTAAATTTAGTGAATGTAAGGCCCATTGCTTAATAGCCTTGGATATCCCTCACAATTCTTACCTGCCCTTCCCCAGCTACCTTTACCCACCCAGCTAACTAGGCAATTTTATTACTGGCAGCACTAACCTTGTGGTTTTACATGTCTTTACAGCTTCCTTTTCAACCAGCGTGGCTGGTTCAGTGTCAGCTACCACCACTCTGGTTCTTTGCTTTACTTCCCCTTCATCCTTCACTGAACCTACTCTCCTCAAAACATTCTTTTTTTCTACTGCCCAAATCGTAAAGCCAAGCCAAAATTCTTATTAAAAAAAAAATCAATTTCTTTGATAAAGATAATGCTCAAGAAAGAAAACTTGGAAAACAAACCAAACTCTGTATATACTCACATACAGATCCAAAGATCACCTCCTGATATATGCTTCGTAAGTCTTTTCCTGCTTATAGAAATTTATCTCTGGATTTTTGAATTGTTCGGAAAACAGAGACCTTGCAACATGACAATAGCTACCATATTTGAGTACCTACTATGAGTCAGACATCCAACTTGTGCTTTACTTTATAACCATAATTTCAATTCCTCATAACAACCTCTTTAGATAGGTATTATACTAGTACTGGGTACTTACTAATTTCCCTGGCACCTGAGACATATCAGTGAACAAAAGAAACAGGAAACCCTGCCCTAGTGAAACCCATATCCTAGTTGGGGATATGAGTAGTGAATAATAATATAATTAACAGTAATAAATTTATGTTAGAAGTTGTTGTTTGGGGGGGGAAGTGTTTTTAAAGGGGAATGGAGGGAGAGAGTCACAATTTTGAATAAGGTGGTCATAATAGGCCTTTTGAGGAAGTGACATTTAAGCAGAGATTTGAAGAAGATAAAGGAGTCAGCTATGTGCATGTCTGGAGGAAGTACATTCCAGATGGGGACAAAGTACAAAGGCTTTGAAGCAGGAGCACGCCTGGAGTTGAGAAACAGCAGAGGCCAGTGTGGATGGTAAAGTGAGTAAAGAGGGAAGTGTCAAGAGATGAGGTCAAAGACGGAGCAAACTATAGAGGAACATGAGGGCTACAAGTTACAAGCAGTTCAGGGGTCCAGTCTTTACAGCTGCACATCCAGAGATGAGAGAAAGCCTCTGCTTCTTCAGTTCCAATGGAAAATTGGAAAGGGAATGACTTCAACAAGCCAGGATTGTATTCACTCCTGGACCAAATGCTGTGCTAAAAATAACTGACACAATCAGGTCACATACTACCCCTTGGGTGAGAGGATAAGAAGATAATTGTTTCTGGACAAAGACTCTGGGTGTTATTATACCCATTTAACAGATAAGGAAAAGGCAAAACTGATGACAAAAAGCAGACCAACAGTTGCTTGTGTGTATGGTAGAGAGAATGTAGGAAGGGGAAGGAAGATCAAAGGGCACGGGAAAACTTTTTAAAGTGATGGATTGTGGCTTAATTAATCAAACTGTTCACTTAAAATGGGTATTTTATTCTATGTAAATTATACTCCAATAAAGCTGGAAAAAAATCCATTATAGTATATAACTTTAGATTCACATAATTTCCTTCAGGTGAAAAATAACTAACAAATTTAAAAGGTGACCTCTGAGTGGTGGAAAGTTTTAATATTCGTTCATATATATTCTAATTTTTCTACAATGAATGGTATTTTCTGTAACCAATTATTTCCTGAAGCGATGATGACCTAACTGAACAAATAAAGTAAATAGTGAAGTCCAACTTGGTTTGGTAGTACAGTGTCACACGGAATATTTGAACCCAGACCTCCACAGTCTCAGCCCTTAGAGTCCTATGCTGGACTCTAGACAGGTACTTCTGAACTTCCCTGGTAAGGACAACCTAAGACAAATAGTGACTCTGTGGCATCTTACTATACTGATGGATAGTGACTGCAATGGGATATGTGGGGGAACTCAATATGGGTAAATGAAGTAACCACATTGTTTTTCATGTGAAACCTTCATAAGAGTGTGTATCAATGATACCTTAATTTAAAAAAACAGCTTAAGAAATGGGATGCTTAAGAAAACTGTTAATACTCATCACACTATTGAATCTGTATAGTTAATAAACCCTCTAAGGTGATTCTAACCTTTGGAATATTTAATGGAGCCCTGCATAGATATAGGATCTGAAACCTCTGGAGCATTTCTTAACATAGTAAGGGTTTGTCATTGATGCCAAATAACCTCACATGTGTATTAGCTACCCCATCTGGAATCTATTATGATTAATCCTTTCTAGAAAGTCATCTTCCTTATAAGGCCATCTCTAACTGGGACTC